AGGACGCAGATGGACTTCCGCTACTTTGTAAGTCTACGAGTTGAACCGAGTCGTACATATACTAACTACTACTAGTACCCGCAGAACCCAGTGGCGTCTCAGAACACCGAGACAAAGACGTACAAAAACATCAGGCCGTTTTCAGCCTTGACTTCCCTTCTTGGCGGATGTTCATTGACGCATATGACATCACAACACCACTGATACCTCAACGTCAAGTAGAAGAGGCAGCAGTTGGCGCTAACGGCTGGTATAACGGCTAAGCTGTCGTTGCTCAGTTTCGCTTGATATTAGTTCCGCTTCTACGTCACATCGTCAACCTGTCAGCCCAAGAGGGTGACATTTGGTGTTTTGCTCATTTCACAACGTGTCTTCACGAGACATTTTTCCTAAGCGTCGTTCAAACGGGTCAGACATGATATACGATCATACGCGGCACCTGCGCCGCATCCTTTTCTTTTGGTTTTCACATCTTCTTTCGCCTTATCCCAGGCGGCATCTCTTTTTACTCTTTAGTTATAGCACCTGATACCCCAAGATTTCTGTTCGGATTTTCTAGAGGCATCTTTATGTAGTTGGAATCAAAGCATTGCGATTTCAAAAGGAACATATCAAGTTCTGTTGTTATTCTCCATTGTACAGCCTGACTGGTCATGTTATGGTAAGTGTCAAGAGTGAACTCTTGCAGCCGGTGGTTCCTTCGGGGGTATGCTACCGAAGCCCATCCATATTGATATTGATCTTCGTTCATGCATACCAATGGTCGTGCTACTCCAGTAGTCTTCATCCCTATCTGGAAGGCACACACGGCTATACCCTATCTCCATCGCAATACGGAATTTACCATTCTTGACTGCTTCCGCGCCCTCCCGACCCTGTGTCTTGGTATTGTGATGAAAGTCACGATGTGCTTCCTAGTTGCAAGGTGTTGAGTAAGACACTAACCCTTGTGACCGTCAGCTTGTTTCACGACAATCGTATGTAGCGTGGAAGTATTGCTAAGGCCATGCACTCCAACAAAGGCTATCGTGTGAACGCAATCCTGGGGCTCACTAGCTATTCCTTAGCATTCCTAACGAAACCGCTATCGTTTCTGTGACTGATTCCCGCTACACTGGTAGAAACACCTTGCTTGAAGCCATAGCGTTTGACTACATATGCACTTACAATTGAATAGTGATCAGCATAATCTATAAGAGCCAGGCTCGCGAGGCTTGCGTGGTCCGAGTTGCTCGTCGGAGTTAACTCCAGCGGTCGGGTTCAACGCGCCGGCGGGTGTCAACATGCGCAAACAGGAGCGCAAGAAGTCAGCCTGGTGAATCTTCACGGAGGCCAAGCAATCCGGAGCTTCCCAGGCTCAAGTAGTTCTGTTGTACGATCCCCAAGTAGGCAGGTGGTGATCGGCAGGATTAGTTCGCTGGTGGTTGGGTATCGATTTTGCAATTTCAAGCTGGCCCAGATGCAAGTCAGCAAAGGAGATGAGTAATGGCCTTGGCTTCTCTATTCGCCTTTGTCATCAAGCGTTCTTGAAGATGACTGAACGATAGCTTCATTCTGCGACAGGCGGGTTCGGCCCGACATACGGTTCTTAGCGGCCGCACGTCTTGTGGCAGTACTTGTAGGCTAGAGCTTATTTGGCTCGCGAACCCAAACGTTGTTGGTGGAAGTTAGGGATAAGGGGGTTTGGGGGCTCATCTTTGGGTTGGCCTTGGCGACCGTCCGGACGAATACAGTCCCCTCCCTGGTAGATGTCGTGATGCTTGGCGTCCATCTACTCAAAATTCCCAGTGTGCCAGATGTGCATGACCTGGGGATGTTCCAGAACCTCAGCGCTACCTCGCCAACAGTTTCGTTGCCCGACTATGCCACGGTGCTGTTCAATCTCTACCTCTGGGGCCCAGCGCTATCTTCTCTGCATGGTTACGATACACTCGAACATCGTGATGCCGTAAGCATCGAGTTGGGCGCCTTGTCGAAATTGCAAACGCCTGTTCGGCTGATCATTGCACGTGGTGTGGAACCCATGGTCAATAGCGTGCGCCCTCAGCCGGCCAAGCCTTCAACGTTCTCCAGCCTTATCTTACGAAATTCTCCGCCGCACGCATGCGGTCGTTGTACGTATGCTTGATCGACAAGCTTTTCTTGGTTTCATAGGTTTGATGCCTTCGCAGCTGCGGTGAGAAGGATGACGTGGAGCTCGCTTCCCCGGATCTTCGCAGGTATCACACCGAGGAGACTCGGGATCCGTAAACACCGTCAGGCCATGATGTTGTCGTTCGCATGATCACCATCCTCACATATACAGTTACTAGCCACATTTCAAACATAACGATGTTTTAGCCCAGACCTCGGGATTGTTGTTCGCAGACCTTTCCTTGGGGCTCCGAAACGCGTCGATGGACGGCGAATAGCAAGCATCGGTCATTCTCCGGACTTGGTGCACTGGCAGCCGTTGAGTGCCGCTGTCACTCATTCTGAATCAGCACGGCAGGTGAAACGCTATGGTACCGCGGATTCGCCGTAGCCTTGCCCATTCTCTTGGAAGATCACGTTGTTATTTGAGGCCCAACATGAGTCCCCAGGCCATCGGGTTCGTGATAGTCGATTAGACCAATCGGCCGATTCAAGGCATCTCCCGTGCTCGCGCACGCTGCTCGAACAGGTACGAGGATCTGCATCTTGCGCACGAAGCGTTGAAGTTATGCCGATGTGTCCTTGCTCGTCTTTGCTCTCGGTGTGATGCGGTGGCTTTGTCGAGCTTCACATGGGGAGACAGGAGCTTATACTTTCTTTCCAAGCCTCAACTCTAGATGGGATCGACAGTAGTGCGGTCACACCCGCGAACGCCGAAAAGCGCGAGCCTCGAGTATTTGTGGATATAGATCGCAGCGACCGCCACGCTTTCCAGGTTGTCAATCCTTCAGTCGTTTTTCGTTTGTTAGTTCACCCGTCCGTTCACGATCCACTTGTGTGGTGACTCGTGTGGCCAGTCTTTCCTTATCCTCTTTTATCATGGAAATCATGATGTCCGAAACATACTCCAACGGGACGCCTTCCTCGTTGGAAGATCCGCACCCGATGGTGGAGCTGGCTCCACCACTCAACTCTCCTCCAGTCTCAGAACCACATCCTATATACGCACCTCTCACTGGAGATGCATCCGGCAAGAGGCCATCCGTGCCTTCCATTATGGGGTACCGCTCTAGGTCATCGACTCCAGGCACATCAGACCCTTCGAAGCGCGAATCATACAACCTCGCTGGCAGCACTTTCCTCATCACGAACGATGGCAGGACACTCAAACTGCCTATGCCATCAAATTCCAAAGCCGATCCTTTGAACTGGAGCAGATGGAAGACAGCTGGAGCGTTGTTCGCCGTGGCTCTCTACTCTGTTGTCTGTCTCACTGCGGCTCAAGCAGCATCAGTCATACTCAATAGTATCCAAGCAGATTTCCAGGACGAGGTAAGTTGCATTCTAGCTAGCTGGGACGAATACCGCTCACATACTACATCTAGGACATACCCGCTTGGCAGATCAAGGCGTTGGTGACAGGTCCCACCATGCTCATGGGCGTGGGTTGCTTAATGTGGGTACCAGTATCAATCGGGTTGGGTCGTCGACCTACGATCTTGATCGCGACCATGGTCGCACTGGGTGCTATGATATGGGCTGGTCAGGCGAAAACTTTCTGTTCGCTCGTCGCCGCAGTCTGTTTCCTCGGTTTAGCAGAGGGCCTTGCGTTGTCTCTTGTAAGTGTGGTTGCAACTTACCTATCGATTCATCTGCTAATCTAATCAGGCCTTCTTAATGGTCATTGACCTCACATACATCAATCAGAGATCGGTAGCGGTAGCTCTCATGTGGTGCATGGCAGGATGCTTTGGCACTTCTGGCGTTGCACTAGTACCCCTCCTAGCCGACCACGGGAACAACTGGCGTCGATTCTACCACTACTGGACTATTCCTGTCGTCATCTCGCTCGTCGTCACCTTCTTCCTCTACCCGGAAACATACTTCAAGAGGCCGACAGTAGCTTTCAACGGACTCATTCTGTTGCAGAGTGCCACCGAAAAGCTGACGGTCTACGAGGACCGCGAGAAAGACTCCGAGATTTATCGCGACCTCCCCGAGTACCCGCTACGCACCGGGTTTGCGGGCTTCCGTGATCGGGTTGGTCTATCACGCTCACCTTTCGCGTCATGGGCTTCGGCGGGTCGTTGCGTTATCCAAATGGGTTACTGTGCCGTCAACCCACTCATCTTCTGGGTCTTCGTCGCCTCTGCCTTCAACTCGGCAAGCATGATCTTTATCGGCGCAACGTACGCACGCATTCTCGTCGCACCGCCTTACAACATATCACCGGGTCTCGTTGGTACTGTCAACGTCGCATCGGGTGTCGGGGCCCTATGTGGCTTGCCAATCTTCGCCATCCTCTTCGGCAAGGTGCTGAAGCGCCTGTCAAGCCGCAACAAAGGTGTCCTAGAAGCTGAACACTATCTCGTCAGCTACATCCTTCCCGTCATCACCGGCGGTCTAAGCTCTCTCCTCTACGGTCTCGCAGTACAGTATCAGTGGCGTGTGTCTGCTTTCTACTTCGCATACGGCATCAACGGCTTCTCCTTCATAACTATGATGATTGCGAACACGCTTTGGGTTACCGAAGCCTTCCCACGGTGGGCAGCCCCTGCCATCGCTGTTGTTTTTGGAGGTTGTTACTTCCTCACTTGGGCCATGAGCTTTGCGCTCGTGCCGTGGATAGAGTCACATGGTTATGTGTGGGTTGGTATTGAACTCATGATTTTCCAGATTGTGGGTGGGTTGGTTGCTATGCCGGTGGCGTTTTGGGGGAAGAGTACGAGACAGGCCATCGCTGGTAGGTGGGCTGAAGATAGGAGTGGTGCGCTTCGTCCGCTGTGAAGAGGTGGGCTGTTAGAGCAGTAGTTGTGTGTCTCTCTTTACTCAGGGCATGATGTCTTGGGTATGGATGGGTGCGGATAATTTATAATCTTGAAATGCCGCTCAGTGTTACTTCAATGCTCGTTTATCAGTGCACCTTTTTTTCAAGCTAATCTCAACGCTACCAAATGTCGATAGTCATGTACTTCATCGACCATGGTTGCGAGGCCGAGCCACATACAGGGCACTCTTGATCTAGCCCTGCTCTGTGAAGATAGCATTGCCCAAGGAGAATATGATGCGATTTGCCGTCTTTGAATCCACGACGCAAAACAACCGGGACGTCGAGTCCTTCTAGAGCCCATATTGTGTCCCCAGGTTGCACTCTCCTCACTCGTTTGGGTTGCGACGAATTGTGGACTGGTGTAAACAAAACGAACCCAACTGATTGTTGAGTCAGAAACGCCTGCTTCTCTCCACACAGACTCATCATCGCCCGACGCAAAAGCGCGAGTTCTCTCGATTGGTAACCTCGATGTTTGTCAGATGAGGCTCCGTCGCAAGTCATCTCTTCCAAATTCTCGCTACAAGAGTGGCACACCGCAGATTTGAGAAAAGGCGTGTTTGGTGGGTCCACTCGTATCAGCTGTAAGAATTGACTATCCCCCCCAAAAGGGACGTCATATGTGTGCGTAGTGATCTTGTCTAGGCGGTAGCCTCTGATGCGCAAGCAAGGGATCACAGAGAACCTCATAGCGTCAATTTTGATATGTGTTGAGTGGGTGTGATGAGCGCTCGTTTGCCGGTACCATAGCATTGAGTCATCGTGTTGAGAGGTGGGCTTCATCTGGTGATCGTCTTGTGCCGCAAGTGCAGGTATTGATGGCATTCCAGAACCTAACGAAGTATTCGTCGATATCGAATTGGATTGGAATGCTGTAAACTTTCCCATCTGCGATACTGTGAAACTCGGAAGTTCCTTGTCCAAGAACTGACGTACACTCCAATCTGGTACCCAGCTAGGCATTGCGTCAAGTTCCAGAGGCTGATAGGGAGGTACATGCTTCAAAACATCTAGCCGTTTCGTTGTAGATATGAGATAGATTGCAATGTTTGAGTAAAATTCTTCAGTACTCATCGCGTAATTCACTGGAAGAGCCTCTCGAAAGCATGTGGGGAGAAAAACATGCAGGGCGAAGATCTTGTCTCTCGGATCGGTGGCCATACAGCGGCGAGCCCGATGTAACACGTCTAGACAGCCGTGCGCGTCTCTTTGAGTGGCAGGAAGCCAGTGTAAAACACCTGGAGGATCGTGATTGAGCCTCTTGCAGTGTAATATGAGCTCCTGAACCGTACGCGCATCCCAGTAGATAGTCTGATTATCCGTGTGAACAACGACAAGCCTCGCAAGCGATATCTCCTGAATTACCCAGACCCTGTTAAAATATGGGTGTTGCATGAATTCTTGAAACCAGGACTTCTCGATCCTGGGAGCTCCAGTGATGATGCCTCGACATCGTTTGTCTAGGTAAACCAGGAATACCGATATTGTTGCGGGGTCATGACAGCCCAGGTAGACTAGTACTTGGGAGGCTTTCGAATAGATATCAGCCATTAGGCCGACTTGATGGTTTCTCTCTGTCGTGCTCTCTTGATCTATGCATCTAAGATTGTGGTCTAGTCAGCCACTCTATGCTATACAAAGCCTGCACGGGGAACGTACATAGCATCGATCCACAAGACACGATTGCGGTCTCGTCTTCTGAGGCAACGAATGGCTGCTTCACAGTTCTTTGTAATAGCGAGTTTCTTCCCATGACAGACAATCGATTGGGAGAGAGATGCATCACCGTCTGTTGTCGCCCAAGTATAAGAAACCGCCTCGTAAGCTGGAACATCTGCGCCTTTTAGACTGACGTGGACAAGCTCGCATACAATATCGTCCTGCTTTTGTCCTGGATGTACACGCACTAGCCGGACATATTGCTCGCTTTCGCAGTGGAGCGGTTCGTACTTGAAAGGTAGTTCTGAAATAGCTGGCGACGCCGGTTCTGTGATGAGATTGCCGCAAGACAGGCAGCAACGAAACGAATCGAAGGTCTGAATGTCAGTGTGTCGACACGTGCTTGACGTTTCGTCCATCGCATGAGTCATTCCTCTATCCCCTGGGAGAGCCTCCTGCAAAGACAGGCAGTCGATATATGTGCGCTCGTGCCGTCAGATTCATCTGCAAGACGTCGAATGCTAGTCGCTACTCTAGACCCAACGACTGTGAACTTGTTGTAGGTACGCACATCAGCCCTCGCTTCGCTTGCGCGAAGGCTGACATATACAGCCCGAGGCACCATCTCTATCCTAGCTGCGGTCGACGCTTAAAAACACAGTGTAAAAAAGTTGAAACTTTATAGAGAATGAATTGCATGTGACTCTGAGTCTGGCTTTTCGACTGCACACAAAATTGTGCATTGGGGACGTTGCTGTCTGTGCTAACGCGTCTCAACACATCGTCGCACGGGCCTTGCGATCAGCGGAACGCCCTCCGCAACTTAGCCAACCCCACGGTCTTGCACAGCCGCGTAGTAAGACCATTCTGTATTGTGCATATGGTCCTATCGGCTACTGCCTAGCATCATTACCTTTCGAAGATGCAATGAGCACTACAGCTGGGTCTCAATTCGGCCCAGAAGATGCGCCGCCCACCAGAAGCTCATTACAGCTTCACGATACCGTCGATCCACGATGACACGACACTCGATTGCCGCGTATACCATCCAGATGCCCTGACCAAGCCGAAAGAGTCGGTCGATATCGCGCAATGGAGGAGGAGGGGTATCGTCATGGCACACCCATACGCGCCAATGGGTGGTAGCTATGACGATCGGGTAGTTAGCATCGTAGTGGAGGAGTTCTTACATGCTGGATGGATGGTGGGCACGTTCAACTTTAGGTACTGTGACATCAGAACTTCACCGTAGCAGTTTGTAGCTAATAATTACTAGAGGTGCTCACGGGTCCAAGGGACGTACTAGCTGGTCTGGAAGACCTGAACTAGACGACTATACATCCTTCGCCGCATTCTTCATGCACTACATATCCTGCCTTCGACCGCGTCTTACCTCCGAGCTTACCTTCGTGCCTGATCAGCCGCCGATACTATCCAGTCAAAGCGAACCGGCATCGACGCATGACGATGAGTCTCCCATAGTCATACTAGGAGGCTACTCTTATGGCTCCCTCATCCTTAGACACCTACCGCCCGTACCGACTATACTACAACCTTTTTCTGCTCAAGTGGCGGGTACTGCAGCTGATGAGATAGTTCTGCGCGCTCGCAAGCTAGCAGACCAGAGCAATCTGGAATGGATCAACCTAGCTCGGGATGAAACCAGAGCTAGGGCGAAGAGTAGAGCAGGGAATGAACCGAGACCTCAGGTTACAATGGGTGGGGAAGAGACCAGTCCAGAAAAGCGCAGGAGTAGCAGAGACGTCCGAAGAAGTCTCGAGGGCGGCTCGCGGCTCGAAATCCGAACGAGGTTAAGAAGCCTCAGTCACAGGCGACGGCACGAAAGCCATGAACCGATACAGCAGCCGGGAAAGAATAGCGCGACGACTACAATGCCAGATGTGCGCTATCTGCTCATCTCGCCGTTGACAGCCCCAACCTCTACACTTGCTGCACCGGCATTGATACACAAGTTTTGGAGCAGGTCTAAAAACGACTATCAGGAAGTGATTGGGAAGCATATAACCCTAGCCATCTATGGTGATCAGGATATCTTCGCTTCGTCAAAGAAAATCCGGGACTGGTCAGAACAACTCAAAGCCGAGCCGGCATCACGCTTTACCAGTGTTGAGGTCGCAGGCGCAGGGCACTTTTGGCATGAGAACGGCGTTGAAGTAAGACTAAGATCTGCGCTGAAGGAGTGGGAAGCTGCGATACGATAGCAGAATACAAGATTCTCGAGTTTAGAGTCTTGTTTCCAGCGGGTACATTCTCGTTGGATCAAGTCTGCTTTCTTCTCATCCTCTGACAACGCTTCGTCCATGTCTTCTGCATATATCCACCAGTACTTTCTCGTCCTAGACTGAATACAATGTGTACGGCGCTCTCTTATCGAGCGGGAATCACTATGAAACACTCCATTTGTCTTCCGCTCTGTAGAATACGCACGTGTGATCTCAAGCTTTCCGCCGAGTTTCAGAGACAGCATTGTCGTTGGTAAAAGGCGAGTGACGATGACGTAGCTCCATGAGGTTACACCCCAAATTTTCCAGCGTGCTCAACCGCCACACAGCAACATCAAAGAGCCCTTCCTTGGAAAATTACGATGCTGAAGGCGTCGACAGCGATTTCATGTGATAATTGCGCAACAGTCGGACAAGGTTCTCTTGGGGGAACAGCTCCGATGCTACTCTTATCGATCAATATCACCCGTTAACTATTTCGACGCTTTGGGAATTGGAGAACATTGGTTGAACGCGTGTTTTGCTTGGAAAGTTCTCCTTCGGTTTCGATGAAACATCCTGATAGCCGCATTGCAGACCTCCTGCTGCGCAGAGTCAGAAAATCCTAGGATAGTTGATAGTCGACGAGAAAGGAAAACGTTAATGCGAGAGCATGAAGTCGCGACAACGAACCAGAAGTGGTCGACGGCTATCATTCCGGCTCGGCGATAACTATCATGTCGTGTTGACAAGGTGTTGGCCGTTGGTGATGTCTGTTCTCGGTGAGCGTTGCATCGTCACAGTCGGCGCACGTACATAACTAAGACGTGATATCATGCCGTGCCTGACTGATGGAAGTGGCGCTCGTGTTCTCGGCCTGGAAAGCTTGTTATGGCTTGACGGCACCACGATACGATGCTATAATAGCTCCGAGATTTACTTCTCCACTTCCTCTTTCATGCTTACAGGCGATTCATCCGGTGGGTGAAGAAGCTTAGACTCTTTCCTCACCAAAACAACGACGTCGCGACGGAGAGAATGACCACTTGACCACCAGTAGGAAACTTGAATAATGTATCATTCCATCAATATAGTATTCGAGGAATGATCAGCTACCAGGAAATGGTATCGACTGCAACGGTCGGATGCTTTGACGTCAAGCGCATCTCCCCGCCAGGGACTGCAGGATCAGAGCTTGTACCTTTCTAAAAATAAGCCGACTAACGCATCGAAAAGGAGAAGCGCAATACCAGTGCGCTCATGAGTATTGAGAGCCCCAGGGCTACAGTACCTCGGTGTGCTGTATGGCGAACAGCACTCGGTCGATCAGTGCAAAAGAGGTGGGCGACTCCACACCGCTAGGTCAAGGATACACCTCGCATTGAGACTTGAAAATAGATGCTTTTTGTAGAGTTCGTATTCGTACCCCGTAATCACGAGAAACGTGCGTCACGGTAGTATTCGGCAGCTACGGCTCTGTGTATATAACTCTAAGATTTCTCGCCGATAGACAGACATCACCAACAACATCCATCACTTCATCAACACTACAACCAATACTTCCATCTACCAACCACTCTCACCACCACCACCATCAAGATGCAGTTCACCACCGCTCTCCTCGCTCTCGTAGCCAGCACCGCCTCCGCCGCCGTCCTCCCCCGCGACAACCAAGGCGAGTGGAACGTCCAGATTACCCTCGGACCCGACGTTGGTCTTCTGTACATCCACGCCGAATTCGCAAACGACGAGTACAACGGCGATGATGGCAAGCTGAGGAACACCTGCTACCAGACCGAAACCCCCTTTGTCCAAGGTTGCGACCGCACTACCTTTGGCTTTACCTACGACGGAAAGGGTACGTTTACAACTCCATATGCCACTCTGATAGCATGAACTAATCTTGTTTTGTAGTCGTCACTCTTCAGGAGACTCTGCCCAACGGTGTTGTCGTCTACGGAGAGGCTGATTTCGAGGTCACCACCGACATTGGTGGCGGCCGTAAGCGGGACGACATCGTTGTCCCTGTTTCCCGCGCTGTTGTCTAAGTTGGATGGTTTTGGTGACGATGGCCTTTTGGCATACTTCCGCTCTGCAGAGAGTAGTGTATATATTTGATCGTAATGCTATTTATTGAATCAACGCAAGGAAATTGTACCTATCATGCAACACACTCTATGATTGTTTGATGTATCATGCAGCATCTTCCATGTCAGACTTAATCCCCTTCAGTTCTCTTAAACGTTCACAGTGTACTCCACCGCATTCCCCGGCTCCCTGGGATAAAACTCAATCATGAACGTCGTAGCCAGACCCGCCGCCCTAACGGCATCCAGCGCCGCTGCCTTGATAACTACACCTTGCGCAGTCCAGTCCCACTGGTTACCATACGTCGTACGTCCCTGCTGTAGCGCAGGAAGGTACTGAGTCCAGTCGTCCACCAGATACGTTCCATCGGCTTTGGTAGCCTTGACGGCCGCAGGCCTATTCTGGCCAGACCATGTAACCGGGATGATAAGGTCCTGACCGGCTGCCGGCAAAGTACCGGAGGTACTTGACAGGGTTGGTGTGGTGTACTGAAGGACATTGACTTGGAGAGCAGCACCGCGGTTAAAGGTCAAAGTCAGGTTTGCTAGGCTGCCGGTGGGAGAGGTAGGTGTGATGATCGACTTGAGGTATGCAGCTGCGAAGGTAATCTTCTCGCCTGAGACGGTGTAATCTTTGCCTTTGGCTAGTTGTCTGCTTCCTTTGCTAATCTTACTGAGTGTGTTTCCGTTGAACATGAAGCCTAGTGTAGCGTCTCCTACGGTTTCGTTTTTGCGGTGGTAGATATATGCGGAGCTAGACTGTGTTGTAGAGCCGTCTGTAGTACTCTCCGGAAGCGCGTTCGGGATGCCCTTCACTGCGTTGCGGTAGATATCCAGGGCTACCTCGTCGCGCCAGACATGCGTCGCGCGATCAAGGAAGTCGGCTCCGTTGTCCCAGAGAATGGTCGAAGTGTTGTATTTTGCTGCTGTGCGGAGGAAGAAATCAAAGTATCGCCAGCGCGCTGCTGTCTCGGTAGCGACGGGTGATACAGCCCATTCGCCTATTACGAGTGGGATATCGGTGAAGTTTCCGCGGACGGCGGCGAGGTCGGCTTCGAGGGCAGCTTTATCGGCGTCGGAGCCCCACGTGGTTTTGCCCCAGGCTTGGAAAACATAGTCGTCTGTGGCGTGATTAGCTATGAATACTTATGTAGTAAGACCATTGTTGCTTACAAGGAGAGTAGTAGTGATACTGAATGCCCCAGGGGTTCTTGAACTTCGGATCAGGCTTCTTAAACCACTGCGCCGTCTTCGCTCCATCTTCGCCTGCGCCAACGAGCGTGACAACACGCTTCGGGTTGTGACCCCCAGCATCATTGATAGCCTTGAGGAAGATGTCGTTTAGCCTGTTGACCTCAGCGCCGTGCTCAGCGGTAGTTCCTGGAATCTCATTGATCGTCTCGAAAGCAACCTTCTCGCTCTTGCAAGCGAGCTTCTTGCCAATCTGCTCCCAAAGTTTCCCAAGCCTCTCTTCAACAGCCGTGACATTCGTGTTCGCTACTGTAAGATCGGCCCAAGTCCAAGAATCGTGGTGAACGTTGACAATGGCGTACAATCCGCGGTCTGTGACCATGTCCACGACATCTGATACACGTTGCAACCACACGGGATCGACGATCCAGTCTGGCGCTTGAGAGGTGAAGTGGTACGCCCAGGTGATGGGGATTCGAATGCTCTTGAAGCCAGCTCTTTTCGCATCATCAAATGTGCTTCCGACGACTGGCGGGTTGTTCCAGCTACCTTCGGTCTCCACGGCATCGAGCGTATTGCCAACATTCCAGCCCGGGTCCAGTTTTGCGAAGAAAGTGCCCGCTGAAATCGATGCGAACTTGGAATCCGAAGGACATTTTACGCCAGTGCCATTTGTCGCTGCTTTTCATTAGTCAATTTTTCGCTTGTCGGAATCGTGAGAGAACTAACATTGCGCGAAAGCAAATGCGCTGTTTAGCAGCACTGCTGCACTTGCGTGGGAGATTCTCATTGTGATCCTTGAGTGCTCTGGTCGACTGTGTCCCAAAGAGACCAGGAATAAGAGCAAGATATACGAATACTCCCATCCCTATGGTACAACTAACTCGCCTCATATTTTCTTCCATATAGCTTGACCCACTCTCCCCTCGCCACATCCCTATAAGCCTCGCATGTTAATGAGGTTGTTACCCCAGAATGTCGCCGCTTGTAGTTAGCGCGACAATCAAGCTTCCGAATTCATTTGCTTATATTGGAAAGCCGCCTTCTTACCCGGTTTTGCAGCGCGAAAGCAGAATCATGGAAGGCGTTTGGAAAGAAATAGTGAAGCCATTTGGGACGCTGTCATTGGTTGCTGCTGTGTTTGGTATAACATCGCGTCCTATCGATATTGCAGACCCCAGTCTGGATTCATATGCAGGTCCCCGCGGGCCTGAATCCAAATTAGCCTGGGAAGCGACATTTCTCCACCAAGGACTATGGCGCTCCTTTGCCCACGCTATAGTCTCCTACCTTCAGGGTAGCTCACATGCGAAAAATGGAGATACTAGTCTCCAGGAGGAGTAATACAGTTATTCCGTACCCAAAACAGTCTGGCAAAAATGTGGCGTGACAGCTACAAAACCAGGGCAAGGTATCAAGTCACCACATGTGTTGTGCATATATGCATGTCGTTTCGAATACCAAAAAGGCCGACAAGACCCGCAATAAAAGATCTAAAACACAATGTACCAAAGAATGAAGGCCTCTGGGTACCATCAGGGTACGGTATGCCATTTGGGAAGACAAGAGAGAGAACTAGCAACACAATTGAAGAAGAGATTGATTCCTGGAAGATGTTCCGACCGCCCTTAGAACGCCGAAAAGAAGAGAAGGACCAGGTACCAAGAAGATCATTAACCCACAGTGTCGCATGAGACACAAAATGCATTCAAGGAAAAGGGCTGATTATGATTTCGTCCAAGGTCTTGTCAGACAAGTTGTCCGCGAAAGGGCGGCCATTCGACTCGCGCTGACGTTCGTACTCCTTCGCGGCAAGATGGCGGTCTTGTAGCTTGGGTTCTTAGATTGACCGTTCTTCCGCCGAATTAGTTTTCGGGCGAAGTGTCTTGCATAGCTGTTTTGGCACGTGGAATTCATGCTCCAGCTCTGCACCCTACTCGGGGCGGGGTCTCTTGGCCCCGTGCGGGTTCTGCCAGCTGCCATCGTTGCCGCCTTGATTGCCTTGGAAAAATCCTGGGTTGAATCCTGGGTTGCCGCCGAAGCCACCTCCTGTAGTTTTGGTGTTAGCGATCATCCAAGTGAAGGACTGGGAAGTTTGGGGGTTAAGTCATTAGTCTGAGGATGAAAATTTCTCGACGTACCCATTCCTCCCATCATGCCCATGTTGCCACCACCCATACCCATCATGTTGGCTCCCATGCCCATCATGTTACCACCCATAGGCATGTTCATGCCACCCATGGGGTTTCCGCCCATAGGGTTCATGCCCATGTTGCCGCCACGACCGCGATTGCCCATACCGCCACGCATGTTACCGCCCATCATACCACCGCGGTTGAAGCCGCCTCCGAAGTTGTTCATACCGCCCATAGGGTTGCCGAAGTTGCCCATTGGTGCTTGAGCCCCGTAGCCGCCCATGTTACCACCAGCAGGAGAAAAGTTACGGTTATTTTGGTAGCCCATGCCTCCCCTGTTGAAGTTGCCACGGTTGTTGTTGTTGTATCCGCCTCTGTTGTTATATCCACCCTGGTTGCCGTAGTTGCCGGAAGTAGCGCGGTCGTTCCTACCCTTATCTCGCGCGGGAACATCCTTTGGTAGTGTCTTGAACGGGTTAACGTGTGGAGGACTGAAGATCGCGGTCGGCTTCTTCGTGTGGGCTTGATCTCGGAAGAGGTTCTCGATCTGGTGCTTCAGAGCAGTGGCTGCCTGTGGTGAGTTCAAGAGAGTGAAGACTTGACTACAAAAGCGATTAGCCTGGTGTGCGCCCATACGATGGAGTGACTAACCCTTTGCTCTTGCCGTTGACCTTATGCTCATTGAAGGTTACCTCGACAAGTTCATCTTCGCAACCACTCTGGTTCGCCCATCCGCGGATGTCTTCTTCACTAATCCACCAGTTTACATCGTTGATCATGAGGGCTGCGGTCGCGCCAGGGTCAGTCGGGCGATCGTCGTCCTCACCCTGCTTGCGCTTTGTGCCCTGTTGCTGAGGTGCTTGTTTGTGAACGTCAAGGCCAGCTGCACCTCCTGTAGATGCAATTTGTTGGGTGCTCTGGTCATGGTGGCCATCCCCGTTTGTGGTGTCTTCTGTAGACTCTTTGATAGCTTGATCGCCATTCTCCGCCTTCGTGGTATCCGATACGTTGTTTGATGTCGCAGCGTTCGCATCTGTGTTCGGAGTGTTCGTGTCGGTTATGGTGGTGTCTTGCTGTGCGGTCGAGTCTTGGTAGGAGTCATCGCCGTAGATGTCGATGTCGAAGTTGTCGTCGTCAGCCATGTCTGCTGTGGTATGTCAAGTCAACTGCAGTAAGCGATGAGGTTTGTTCCGGTATTCTTTCTTTAATTCGCTTTTAGGTACTTGATGTGCTAGTATCAATAGCCAAAGTACATGCAATTCTGTGATTGGCATACAAATCAGCATGATGAGATAGAGGGGTGATAAAAGAAAGCATGCGTTTGCGGTCCGTTGCAATGCGAAAGCGAGAGAAAAGACAAACAGCGTAGAGTGTAAGGCCATACGTACAGTGCCGCTGTCGGCGCGTGGTGGCAAGGTCCAGAAAGACAGCTCAGTGCAAGACGGGGTAGTCCGATCGCCCCTGGCAGATGCGGAGATGTAAAAGGTACAGGATGTGGTGTGAGAGATGTGTGTGTGAAGCCTCAGCCTGCCTCCTGCGCTTGCTATCGCTAGCTTCCAGTACAGTGTGCGCGAAGCGAAGCTGCTGTATACAATGTCCCTTCGAATTGATGCGGCGCTGAATCGTGCGCTACCAGTAATAGAAGAAATGGAGAGCAACGAGGACAAGCTCGAGTCAAATGTCAAACACGTTCCCTCTCAACCCTTGACTGTGCGCGTGAGTCGATGTAAGCAAGCGGGTCGCGGTCGCGCGTCTCGTTGGCGGCTCTATTGCGTAGTGAGTGACTGCGTTCAGTGACAAACCTGGGGAAATGGGTAGATTCGACTTGTCGGCGCGAGCACGAGTGATGGTGAGCGACAGACGAGGACGCGGATGCGATAGCTCGCAGTTAGCGTCGCCGCTTAGCGTGCTTGGCGCGACACCTACCCCTGTCGGGTTTCTCCGCAAGGCCAGATTGCGTCCGTCTGGTAATTTGGCAGCTACTACCCTGAGTTCGCGACCTCTCCGACAACCCGCGATCCATTCAACTCGACAAATCACTCACGACAACTCCACACACCCCACGAGTCAATAGTCACACATCAGTCGCTATGGAGAACGTCAAGGAGTTCGCTGAGTAAGCCCGACGGCAATCGCACGATGAGGGAGTAATGGCTAACCTCCGCGCAGTATGCCCGCTGAGTTCCTCAAGGAGGGTACTCTGTTCATGAACCGCTGCACCAGTACGACTGCCTCTCCAAACCGATAGTGACGTGTCTAACACAACCACAGAGCCCGACAAGAAGGAGTTCATCAGGATATCGCAAGCAGTAGGAATCGGTTTCCTCATTATGGGTTAGTGACAGGTCGCATGTCCGCCCCAGATCCATCAGACTGACAGTCTCGCAGGCGTCATCGGCTACGTTGTCAAGCTGGTGCACATCCCCGTAAACAACATCCTCGTCGGCGGCTCATAGACGCTACTACGCCACAACACATCGATTCTCTTCCCTTTGCATCTTCGACCACGACACCGGTCCGTTCATCATATCATCTTGTATTAGGGGCATTGGGAGTGGAAAGACCCGCCTTTACCTTGTGGGCTCCATAGAGGACATATGGCATACTCAAAATGGCTGTACAGTACGGAGGTTGGGTCAGCGGGAGTTTGATTATATCCAAATTTAGGCATGCGCAACATTCACGTTGATGGAGTTTGCGGACCAATTGACGTGATGTAAACTAAATTCCGTGGGCCAGAGTCGAATGATAGACGGACTGCTTCCAACGTGGGGAAAGCCACGGCAACCAGAACCGAAAGTCCCTGCGTATATACAATAACCTTCCGAACTCCTTCCTAGATGCCTATATACAATACCTACATTCGCCCGCTTATCGGAAGTCTGGTGGGGTCAGCTGATGCAGGAGCTTTCACTCCTCGTTCATCATGTCTTCATACCACATAGGATGCCTTCTCGCCCTGCCCTCAGCACTCCTATAGAGCCGCTCATCGTGCTGCAATTGTGCATTGACCCGCCTTCCAATCTTCGGCTCCGCTTCATCTTCTTCAAGGCCATCATTCCATGTGTGAACTGTGCAAGTTCCCTGTGAGGTGCCCCAGCCATTCCACGAGGTTGCTAGCGATAGTCAGCGAAAGAACCGAGGAGAAGATATATATAAATACTTACCCGCAATCATGGGTGCATTAGGATGCCAGCTTGCATCTCGAACACAGGTCTGCCATCTGCCCTCGTTCCTACCCCAGTGATCGTACATGCCAGAGAGAAGATCTGCATCACGTGGCCTTGAGTTTCTGGTCGCTTTGAGAACATCGACTTTGCCAGCAAGAGTCGCATCCATGTTCCAGATGTAGACCGATCCGTCGTAGCTGCCGGAATAGACATATCGCGAGTCGGTGCTACCGGGTGGTGAGAAGTGGCATCGGATGAGCGTCTTCAAGACCGTGTGCCCCCGGAACGTGACAAGCGAACAGTCGTGTGGATGTGGGCGGTAGTCATCGAAGTCGTACGCGTTGGATCGGTACTCGAAGCGATTGGTGTATGCATTCGGGTCAATGCGATCAGCCTTCTCTTTCGACATCATTTTCCTCAGATCCCAAAGCTTAGCGGTTTGGTCCTTGCCATTGCTAAGTACGTATCGCCCATCACCTTTGCTGTCGACATATGTCAATCCTTCGGTGTGACCGAGGAAAACACCAGCTTCTCGGCCATCACCCATACTTCTTCGGTCCCAGACCTTGAGTGTAGTATCGTCTGAACCAGAGTAAAGAATATGCGGCGATTGAGTGTCGCCGAAGCAGACCGCATTCACGTCGTCTTGGTGACCCGGTATGCGTAGTACTGATTGACGACGCTCGATGTCATACACATAGACGGAACTGTCTCCTGTTCCTGCTACAATCTCACGGCCATCGCCAGAGAATCGTATCGACCAAATCTGAAACAGTTAGTTGCGAAATTAAGCCTTAGGTGCGAATAGCTTACACCAAAGTATCCGCGGAATCCACGAGGGGCCGGTCGACCGAGGTCTGAGAAATCGAGGTAATGGGGATCAGAATCATTGTCAGGGTCAGTGTGGGCTAGCGCAACGATACTTCTAATAGAGCTGTATGCCAGGAAGCGGTTGTCTGGACTTAAAGATGCATCCGTGATAGTCCATTGACCGCCGTCGTATCTCACCGTCTGCCATGAGTCAGCTTTGCAATGCTTCAGATAAACAATGTTGCTTACCTTGTAGTACTTCCAGTCATATGGATTTGACGTGTCATACATGCGCACTTTGAAGTCCTGTGCGCACGAGAAGAAGAAATTACCATCGTCTGAGAATTGTCCCGAATAACATCGCGCATTATAATGTATGATGGTGTCGGCCACAGACTCGGGTATCATATCTTGCCTCAACAGCCTCGTGGAATTTTTCTGGCGACCATCACCTCCAATGCCCAACTCTCGTCGCATGATGTTGTAAGCTAGCTTCTTTTTCCTCTGGAGTGTGTCCTCCGATCTCGGGTTCGTTCCGAAATTACCTCCTTGCATCAATTCCTGACCCTGCTCACTGGGCACCTTTTCAAACAAGTCTCTGCCTCGTGGCCCTCGCCTTCTGCCAGAAGACCTTGTGCCAATAGGGTCATAGCCAGTGCCTGCGTTGCTGTCTTCTTCATCTCCCTGTTCATCATCGTCAAGCCTGCGTCGCCGAAGCGCGGATCGAGGAATAAAGTCGGTGGCGAATATCCGTCCTAATCCGGCGTGGCCAAGTAACTGCATTATCTGCTCACGTGTGATCATAACTGGCTGACGAGGATCGTCTGGATCATCATCGTCCCCGTCTTCGTCTTCGTCTTCTTCTTCGTTCCCCTCTTCATCGTCCTCGTCCTCGTCGTCTTCTTCGTCATCATCTTCGTCGTTATCGTCGGTGTATTCGAATGCGATCTCCACTCCGCTGAGGTTACTCAATCGCTCGGCAGCATCTTGCGATAAAGTCAGTCAATAGTTCGTGAGCCATGCAAGACAGATTCATATATACCATGAAAGCTCAAATCGCCTTCACCGTCCTCATTGTCGTCGGTTCCCTCTTCTGCGGGCACAAAGTCCATGTCGTCATCATCATCTTCAGTATCGCGCCAGAACGGGTCGTTTGGATCGTAAACAATGGTTCTTGCGGTGTCCTCCTCGGTAGGCGGGCTAGTCGGGGCGTGCGAAGAACTCATACTTGCGAAAAGCTGTCCAGCAGATGTCGCAAGTTGTACCGAGGTGATTATGATGGTGATGCTCGTAACGGGCGGGAGCTTTCTTAGTAGTCACGGTAATAAGGCAGGCTATCTCCGATTTCTCCACTCTTATCGATAGATTGAGCTACGCAGCACGGTGTTCCACATAACCACGTCACTGGGATGAGCGAGTATAGCAGAATGTCGTATATGGTAATTTGTTGATTAAAAAGCGTGAGTACAATAAAGGGTATCTAGTCGCGAAGAACACTATGCCAACAACCCCACATCGGGCTCAATCAGTATCGGTATCCTGGTGCGAAATCATAAGCTCAGGATCCGGATCATCGTCTTCAGAGTCAAAGTACGTCTGCCGAGGCGACGCAGCCTGCTTCGGCGGGGACCGACTGATCCTGATTGCAGAGCCCGTCATCTCTTCTGGTTCCCTGGCCTCAAAACTATCGTGATCTATCAGCGGTTCTGTAGCTCGTTCCTTGCCCTTTCGTTTCGACCCAACAGCCTCTTCCAACATGTTCTTGCCCTGTGTGAAAGCTTCGAGCTCGGCACCGATAGCGCAAACTAGTAAATTCCAACTTCGCGACGAAGCATACTCCAGCTTCTCTTCCAAATATGCTATTATTGCATCCATTTGCTCGAGAAGCTTAGTAGGATCGGGAACGCTCTTCTGTGTCGTGGGCCGCATGGAGTCTTGTAGGTTGGTCTCGTATTCTGCCACCTTCTTCATAACATCGGTCCACAACACCGCACCCTCGTCAAGCGCACCACGATCTCTATCAACCTCTTCGCACCTCTCAGCCAGCCTTGTGTACTCGTCTTGCCAGTATTCGCGTGCCATGTCAAGCGTCCGTCGCTTCGCGGGTAGTGTGAGGAACGGAGACGATGATATTGGTACGTGGTCCGCGTTTGGAGGTCGCGCAAGGAAGTTTGAAACCTCCCGATCTAGCAGTGACAGCGATGTTTTGTAGGATGCCAATTTGGCTTCCACGGAGTTTTCTGTATCAGCCAGCTCGTCCAAGACTCGCCGGTGTTGTCTCTTCAACGCCCACAGTTCTTCTTCCTTCTGTCGAATCTCTTGTTCTAGCTTCGAGGCTTCCGTTTGTAAGGTTTGCGCCCTTGCGCCAGCGTCTTCTCGCTCTATATCCCTGATCTTCTTCGCGAGCCGTACACGCTTTTGGCTCCACGCATCGGTCTTCTCCACTGTGCTTTGCAGTTTCCTCAAATCCTCATCTAAGAGGTCTAGTTCCTCGGCCTTGATACTGGCAAGTTGCCTTATCCGCTTAGATATGCCTTGTCTTGCTGTGTTTAGTCCCACTTTCTTGCTCCGTGTTGCGCCGTGGCCGTTTCCGCTGTCCTCGCCTCGGTCACTGGACCGAACACTGCTAACAGTTGGTGTGGTGCTTCCATTCGATACGTGGCCGTCTCCTGCGCCAAGGCTGCCCATCAGGCCATCAGCTTGTGCGTCAAGTAGCTCTTGCAGCTGTTGTTCGAGATGTCTAGCTCGTCGTTGCAAAGCTAGTAGGTCGTCGGGAACGCGCGGCGGCGGAGAAAGGCTGGATCTTGGGGCGTTCCACAGTACGGAGGAAGTTACAGGCGGTGGTATTCGAGGAGAGGGCGGAGAGTTGTAAAGTGGTAGTTCGTGTTCGCGCGCGTGAGGGTCTTCAAAGGACTTTCTGAATCGCCGCGGCGGTGAGAGCGAGCCGAGGACTGAATTAAAGATAGACATTACGGTGAACCATGAGATTACTGTGCGCTCTATAGTATATTTGAAGAAGCGTTGGTGAGAAGTAGTTGTGTATGCGGTAGCGTTGGTACCTCGCGCATGTGAACGAGTCAGGCGCGCTCCGAGAGCTCTTAGTCAGCCACGTCATCTCAGACAGCTTGGGAGCATGAGACACGTGATAATAATAGGCAAAATGATCAAGCAGAACATAAGATGCGATCGGCCGTGAGGGCTTTCCATGAGGAGTGAACTGCGCTGGCAATTTGCAGAGGCACTGTTATGCTTGCAGAGTTCGCGTGAAGTACCTGGCAAACGACTTCTGAATGTTGCATTTTGGGGTATGAAAGATTCTATCGACACAGAGAAGGAAGCATTTAGCTTTACGCAGCAGCAAAGTCTCCAGAAAATCGCGCCTTGCAGTCGTGGTGATCACCCGTGGACCATTTCACCTGGGCATCCCACATGCGGCCTGCTGGCGCCAAGCCATATGCGGCTAGTGTCATCCACGACCTAAGCGAGCATTTCAATATCGAAAGTTGCAAGTGCGACCGCGACAACAGCACGCACTAACTTCCAGGAACTCCAAATCGTACGCTCTCCCACCTCTCCTCAACCTCTCAACCGTCGCTAATCGCAACTCCAGCAGCCGTATACCCCACCAACATACATCATGGCTGACGCTCCTGCCCCCGCTCGCGGCGGATTCGGTTCTCGTGGAGACCGCGGTGGTGACCGTGGACGTGGTCGCGGACGTGGCCGTGGCCGCCGTGGCGGAAAGACTGAAGTACGCACATAAAAATATTGGAGGCATAAAGTGCGGGAAATTGACAATTGGCATAGGAGAAGGAATGGCAGCCCGTCACCAAGCTCGGCCGTCTCGTAAAGGCTGGCAAGATCAAGAGCATGGAGGAGATGTACGTTTCGAGGCGACATTGGGGAGGGAATATTTACTGACTGCGGGCAGCTACCTCCACTCTCTCCCCATCAAGGAGTACCAGGTCGTCGACTTCTTCCTTCCTAAGCTCAAGGACGAGGTCATGAAGATCAAGCCCGTCCAGAAGCAGACCCGTGCCGGTCAGCGTACCCGCTTCAAGGCTATCGTCGTCATCGGTGACTCCGAGGGCCACATTGGTCTCGGTATCAAGACCTCCAAGGAAGTCGCAACCGCCATCCGCGCCGCCATCATCATCGCCAAGCTCTCCGTCGTCCCCATCCGAAGAGGTTACTGGGGTACCAACCTTGGTGAGCCTCACTCGCTCCCCACCAAGGAGAGCGGAAAGTGCGGTTCCGTCACTGTCCGTCTCATCCCCGCTCCCCGTGGTACAGGCCTTGTCGCATCGCCCGCCGTCAAGCGTCTCTTGCAATTGGCTGGTGTCGCCGACATCTACACTGCCTCTTCCGGTTCCACCAAGACTCTTGAGAACACCCTGAAGGCTACCTTCGTCGCCGTCGCACATACCTACGGTTTCCTCACCCCCAACCTGTGGGCGGAGAAGAAGCTCACACCATCCCCGCTTGAGGAGTACAGCGACATCCTCCGTGAGGGTAAGAGGTACTAGAGGGTGTTTCTGCATGGGTTCTTTTTAGCATTCAGGGTTATGGCGCGGGGTATTACATTCAGGACCTCACGTATGTATCCAACGATAGTGCTGGGTACACCGGCATGAAAATGAACAACTTTCAATGATGACCTTTAAGTCATGATACTCCATGTGCTTTTGTCTTGCGAAAGCGCGTGTACTTCGAAGTGGCGAGGCTATATGTCCAAATCAATATCCCAATACATGTGGCAAGTGTAACCCGTCATGAGATTATCCCATTGCGTATGCGAGTGGGACTTTTACAGATGCGCCTAAATTTCTGCATGATCCATCGTCTACCCTAGGAAGAATCTCGTCGTTGACCATTTTTGTGGTATCAATCTAAAACGTAGAGTATATCTTCAGGGAAAAGTATGAATTTATTGAAAGAAGCTTCGTTGTACCAGCACGTCGATGAAGCGCTCAAGGATGACATTGAGATGACCAAGTTATAGAGGCTACCTGAATATATATCCGAAACTTCGCGCATTAACACAAGAGTTTTGATAGGTAATTTGATTGGATACCGAAGGTACTTTGAACGATGCATGCGAAAGTCCAAACCCACGAACACGATACTAATTATGTACAGGAAGAGAAGGTATACCACTTATGCTTTGGCGCGGTGTGAACCTCGAAGATAACCACACTGATAATACCACAAAGCGACAAACTACGAATGCAATTGTAGCATGTCCTTTCCATGCAACACGAACTGTCCCGGCCACAATGAGCTGGTCATCTCGTTGACCCGCTGCAGGACGTGGTTTACCAGAGCCGGACCAGCCAGTCTAGTGTAGGGCATGTTCTCCAGTGTTAGGGGCATGCAGCCAGGCTGAAGCGACGGCGGTACGATTTCATGGTTCTTCTTTAGTGTTATCGAGTCCCAGCCACTGAGATAGCATCGTGCGTTTACTCCAAAGGCTTCCAGCATGTTGTTGACTTGTTCCAATGAGCTGTGTACCAAGGCTGAGGCGAATAGCTTATCATACGGGAGGGGGTCAAGACCGTAGGGTTGATGGGCTTGCTGAGGTGCGGAGGGTTGAACTTGCGGTGGTGCTGGTGCGGCCATGAGAGACGTTTGCTGGTGGTGCGGCGCGACGGGCACTGGTGCGGTTCTCGTAGGTGCTGGCGTAGACGCAACCGCCCTGGCGTTGAAACTTCTCACGTCGGCATTGCGACGGTGACCTGATTTCGCTTCCTTGACACGCCTCTGAATGGTAGCCACCTGTTGTCTCTGACTCTTCGACATGCCCTCGCGCATCCAGGCTGGGAGCTGGCTTAGGATGTCGACTTTCGCTTGCCTACCACTCAAAATTCTCGCCGCCCTTCTTTCCATGTCTCTTAGAAGACTCGACTCGGCCGGTGTCAGTTGGCGGATGCTAGAGTGTGGTATGCAGAGACGAAAAAGGTCGATATACTCCGTAAGCTGTGTTGCTGTCGGTCGTGTCGTTGCCTGGTTTATACTTGGTGAATTGGACTGAGCTGGCGTGAGTAGGGTCTGGTGAGCCGGCGGGATCACAGCGGGGTTACTTGGTGCATCATCGGGGGGTTCAGTCTTGATGACTGGATCTCTATCGATGATGTCTTGACCCACAACTGACCGTTCTGGCGTATCTTCAGGTTCAGAGTACATGCTTTGATCCTGACTATCCCTCATGTTGTCATTGATAAGCGCCCATTCGTATCTGTCATAAGCGCTGGGAAGTATCTGAGGAATTGCCGTACTGCGGTCACCTGTGGACTCGCGACTATGCTTAGTACACATGCGTTTAGCTGAGCGCTCATCCTGAAAGCCCGATGGTTCTTCTTTCTCTTCCTCGACATGCCGACGTTTCCCTGAGTTGACGTTTGCCGCGTATGCAGAGAACGGCGTAGTGAAAATCGACGCTTGTGTTGGTGCTGCAGCTAGGACGACGACCGCATACTTGCTTGTAGAGAGCCCGCCAGGGCGGATGGCCCTATGGCTTGTGAAGGATTCATTCCGTTGGGTCGAGGTCGACGGGGCTGGAATTGACGGCGTAGCAGTGTCGGTCTGTAATGGGAGTGCCTCAGATGCCGGTAAGGTTGAGATGAATGTGATCTTTGGTTCTATATTCGTAGGCTCCAATGGGCCATGGGTGGGGCGAATCCGAATCTCTTTACGGATGGAGCCATCCAAACGGATCGACGCTGGAATATAATATTCGCCGGTCGCAGAGATTGATGGAGTATCTACACTAGGCATCGCCTCGGTTGTCGAGTTCTGGTTGGCATGATTGAGAGCCGGCGTAGCTGAGTGGACCGAGTGACGGTCTTCTGCCGCTTGCGAAGTGGCAGTCTCCTGTACAGCAGCCATCTCCTGCGCAGCGACAGCCGCTTTTTGAGAGACATTGTCTCGCAGAGACTCAGTCATCTCAACCGCCGGCTCTCGATTGTCACCTTCTGCTGCCGGCTCGACTGACTGAGTGTGAGCGACGACGTGCTGCACCGCCTCCATCTCACCCAACAAGACGTGACTCTCGTCGGGGTTCTCCAGGTCTTGTAACATCTGTGCTTCGTCGGCAACACTGAATTCTGGGTGCGGTAGTGTCGGAAGTGCGGCTATGATTGAGGTGATTGACATTGGGTCTGGAGTGACTTCCTGATTTGCGTCGAAGAAGCCGTCGCTCTTCCTCGATTTCGCGCGCGAAGACCGACGCAGGGGAGTCGCTGCCTTCGCGGGCGAAGATTTGGCAGGAGCGCTCTTCTTGGACCCTCCTGCAGCACGGCGCGGGACGTTGCGTGAAGGCTTCCTCAACGACTCAACCTCATTTACCGCACTCTCCATGTCCCCATTGTCTGATGCCATTGGCATGCCGTTTTCTTTCCCAAATTCTTCCTCTGCGCCTGGCGCTCCTGTCGCCTTCCTGCCTCTGAGCCAGCGCATCATGACGAGTGTTGAAGGCAATTGCCGAATGTAAGTTGAGATGGAAGGTGCGATCGCTCGACGTTCGGAAGAGGTACCGGAAGCTCGAAGTCGACGGAATACTTTTTGTGTTTATCGGCATCTGTTGCAGTACCTCTTGCGATCTCGCGCGCGTCAATAAGAGTCGACGGGTGATTGTGCTTGACATATGCGACAAGTTTCGAACGGTGGGTTGGTTGCGGATGCGCGTTGTGGCTGTTGTACAGGTGCCGAAGGAGACTTCACAGTCCTCGCACGACAATTCTTGATCTTCCTGTCCTTAGGAGTCAAGAGTGGATTAGCTTTTGTACTCTGAGCATAGAACTGAGTCTGAGCATCCTTCATCCTTTTCTGTAATTCGCCAATGCGGCGATTCTGTTCGGGCTTGAGACTAATGCCATAAGATGTGGGTGGTTAGTGCGGGATCTTCTTGATCTCGGATAGGCCGTCGAAGGATTTTGCGCCGTAGTTGAAGACTCAGTCGATTTTAGTTTGGATCTTGGCGAGGGATTCGAGTTCGAAGGCGGTGAAGTTGCCGGACGTGCCGGTTTTGCAGATTGCGATGATGTCGTTCTCGGGGGCGCGGTGCATGGGAGGGGCGTGTGGCTCTGCGTTGGAGGGCTCAAACTTGATGCGAGGGACGCCGGTGCTGGAGACGGAGTTGGCTGGCTCGGCTTTCACGCGCTTGTTTGTTGGTGATCCTGTGTCGAAAGAGTCATCTTCGAGGAGTCTCTTGGATTCCAGACGGTTCAGTGACGCTGGAGATGGGTCTGCCTTAATTGTTGGTTGAGCGTATCTGCTAGACGCCATGGAGTTCTGAGTGATTTGAGCGGCCATCGTCTGAGCAGCTGGGGTAGCCGCCGTCTGAGTAGTTGGAGCGGGTGTCGAAAAAGCTGACTGAAGAGCTGGTACGGCCCGACCGACAGTGACATTGTTCCCTTGTAGTACCCAGTTCGTCGTGCGTGTCGTTGCATCCATGGTGCCAACGGTGCTCATTCCCGCTGGTGATATTCCTCTTACTTGATATTGTACGGTTCCGGAGTCTTCTCGATCTTAACGTTGCTCGGACCTGGCGGAAATGGTGCCGGTGTCATTGTCGGACTCTGTTCGGGAGTCAAGGTCTGTCTATAGTCGAGGCCTGCCTCCGACTTGATGTAGACATGGCTTTGGTCATAAGAAGCGTGCGCCATTGTAGCTGTCAATGAACTAAAAATGACAAGTGTGTCCCAGGTGTTTGGCCTGTTCTTAACGTGCTTTGACGTGACAGTGGTGAAGAGGGGTAAATGACCGAAAGCGATGCTCTCAGGGATCTGTGTCGGAAATGGCACCGGTAGGAATGGATCGTCGAAGGAAGAAGTGTGAGATCGACGATGCAACTCGATGTTTGAGATGCCGTCCTGGCAAGGTTACTCAATGCTATCAATCTTCTAGAAAACTGAAAAGCAAACAAAAGACTCGATAGCTACATACTGAACAGCCGAAAGGACAAGATGGCACAGGCACGCGTTGCGCTGGGATACGCGTTACGCTGAACTCCAAAGTCGCGAATATGACACGCTAGCGGCTCCCTTCAATAGTTCTTTTTGCAACGTGCACGGCACATTCCTTCCCCAGAACTACGACGAATAGTTCTGCACTGCGGTATCAGTCGAGGGTTAAGTACAAACCTTCTCATGATCTGTACTTGTTGTTACGCACATGGAGGAAATGAAGCTACGTGTGGCGGGGCTTCTCGACCCCTCGGCGCAAATCAGTCTGTATTGATTCTCTACTCCCCTTGAAGCGGCTGTCCATTTCCGCCCATTGTTATCGTCTTCGTGACAATGTATTCCTCGATACCAAGATGACTTCCCTCTCGCCCAAATCCAGACTCCTTCACGCCTCCGAAAGGTGCCGCAGCATCGGATATGAGACCGGTGTTCACACCAACCATACCAACCTCCAGAGCTTCAGCTACCCTGTAAACTCGCTGAATATCTTTGCTGAAGAAGTAGCCCGCGAGCCCTACGTCAGCCGCGTTGGCGAGCTTGACAACGTCTGCTTCGGTATCGAAGGGGAAGAGTCCAGCAACAGGGCCGAAGGTCTCGTCTTTGGCGAGCTGCATGTCCTTGGTCATGTCGCGGAGGACTGTAGGTTGGTAGAAGTTCTCTCCAAGATCAGGTAGCTTTTGTCCACCGAACAAGACCTTGGCGCCGTTCTTGACGGCATCCTGGACGTGAGCATCCACCTTGTCGACGGCACGGTCATGGATGAGAGGTCCGTGTGTAGTGCCCTCTTCGTAGCCACCACCAACCTTGAAACTCTTGACCTTTTCAGTGAACTTTGTGCAGAACTCGTCATAAATGCCTGACTGCACATAAATCCTGTTGGCGCATACGCAAGTCTGGCCTGAAGAACGGAACTTGGATGTGATAGCTCCGGTCACTGCCGTCTCAAGGTCGGCGTCGTCGAAGACGATGAAGGGCGCATTTCCACCGAGCTCGAATGAGAGCTTCTTAAGAGTATCAGAAGACTGCTTCATCAGAAGCTTGCCAACGCCGGTCGATCCTGTGAACGACACCTTCTTGACAGTCTTGCTAGATGTGATTGTCTCGCCGACTTCAGGTGTGTTCTTGAGCGCCGTAACAAAGTTGACAACACCTTTTGGGATGCCTGCTCGGTGTGCAAGCTCGGCAAGAGCAGCCGCTGTGAAAGGTGTCTCGCCTGGTGACTTTGCGACGACGGTGCATCCAGCTGCCAGAGCTGGCCCAATTTTTCTCGTGATCATGGCTGCGGGGAAGTTCCATCTGACAGCATTAGCCATAACCCTTCCGAATCAAGTGCGAGACTTACGGTGTGATCAATCCAACAACACCAACAGGCTCCTTAATTGTGAACACTCGGTTACCAGCAACCGTCGCCGGGATGGTAGCTCCGTACATGCGCGGTGCCTCTTCTGCGAACCACTCGTAGAAGCTCGCGGCGTAGTTGACCTCTCCCTTAGCATCTGCCATGGGTTTTCCGTTCTCCCATGTTATGAGCTTTGCCAAATCATCCGCATTATCCATCATCAATTGGTACCATTTCCGTAGCAGCCGTGAGCGCTCGCGACCGGTAAGTTTGCGGAATGAAGGGAGTGCGGCGGATGCTGCTGCGATGGCGGCTTCGGTATCTGCGCGGTCCATCTCAGGCATGGTGCCTATGAGCTTGCCCGTCGCCGGGTCTGTTGCGTGTTAGAGGGACTCTAGATGATCGGTGGGGTAGGAATACCATTGACCTCAAAGGTCTTGCCTGATTTTGCGTCTATCCATTCTCCGTTGACATATGTCTGGTTCTTCAAGAGAGACTTGTCGTTGAGCTGTATGCGGTCAGTAGCTGGTCGTTGCGGATGATCGCGCAAACGAAGTGGGAACATACTGGTGGTACTGAATGGCCCATATCTGCGTATCCTCGAGAGACAATTGATGGCAAGGATCTCTTCTGAAAGTGACTTCTGTAAGCTTGTTGACGTCCGAGTGATCGAGTTGCTGTCACGATGGAGCGCATGGCGTCTAGAAGTGGGTGTGAAGATCGATTATAAACTACCGCGAACTCGGCCACTCTAAAGGCGGCACGCGTGGAAATAAAGATAGCTTAGCCCACCTGAAGACGTCAATTTCTCGTAGACTAAGATTCTGATAGGTTTGGCGGAGATTTGAGAGCCTATGACGTTGAGCAGAGCTATGGCCAAACTGCGGGGTTCGGCTTGTTCTGGTGGGATGGATGCGGACAGCTCGGAGGTAGCTCCGCAATGCTCAATGCAACGTAAGAATAACGAGCTGTGTATGAAGGGGCTTCGCATTGAAGAATTTGTATGTATATTTCCAGTAACTTTTACCATTCCTTCAAGGAAGTGTGACGCGCTAAGCAGAGTGTTCGCGTATATGGCGTATACAGCGTCAAGAGCGTGTACTTTGTTCGGAGATGGAGCATTGCGACATTAGTGAGGCATGTTGGCCATACCTAGGTAAGCTGGACTAAAAGAAGGCTGTTGGTCGCTGACTTGGAGAGAATCTGGTATTGAAAGTGGTTGGAGTGTTCCTTCCTCAAAACCGTGGGGCTTATTCGGCGCTGGTCTCTAGCGATTGTCGAGATGGGCCCTCACGATGCACGAGTGTGGAGGCTCCAAGACCACACCAAGATCCTACCCGACGGCGTTGGCGCATGAGATCGCATGAATCAGCGTACATGTAACGACGGTCGTCCTGGAATTCCAGTATGAGAAGCTTAAACAGCGTCTTGGATGAACATGGCCTGAGTAGTCGATGTTCGCGGCGACATGGAGCGACCACCCGACAACCTTGGAAAGCACAAAGGCACCCACCCTAACATGCACCTTTGAACCCACGAACACAACAATTGTTCGACGAAACGACTGCATCACACAACAAACTGTCAACATGCAAGTTGAGCTGCTTAAGAATGTTGTTGGTCACCGCCAAAGTATATACGTCTTCCACCGGCAACAACAAGGGCTGTGTATAACATGCTTATAACGAAACAAACATCCAACCTCTGCAAATAGAAACTGATTCTACACTTTTGCGTCCTGAGTAGGCTGCTCAGGGGTGGCGTTGAACTGGGTCGCTCCAGCACGAGGTGCACGTGCATAGTTCGCTCTTCCCCACACATGGCAGCGAGCTCTAAACGCGTTAAGCTTTTAGAGCCGCATGTCGATCATGCAGGAACCGACAGCAGCAAGAGCTGCAAGTCGAAAAGAAAGTGCTCAAATAGCAGTTGAAGACGTGGCAGAAGACTCCCGAAAAGCTGCGGAATTTGCCCACTGGACATCAACTCATCTTTTGCTGTCCATTTCGACGCATTTTGCATCGTTAAAAGTCGAGAAATAAAGGCGTTCGCAATTGTCGTGGTTGTGCATCTAAAAAGTGTTCCTTGCTCTAAATTCGGGTTGGGTTTTAGCGCGCTTAGGATTGGACGGACCTTCGCGCTGCACACCCCAACACCAA